TATATATATATATATATATATATATATATATATATATATCTCCGAACGGCATACAATGATTGATCAATGAAGCCTAAATTTGCTCTTGAGGTAGACATAACACCCCATTAAGATTGAAATGTGTATTAGTCCGATTAAATAAAAGAGGTTTTAAAAGTAAACAAACATGGCTTAGTTTAGCCATTTTGATGCACAAGAGAATAGAATTTAGTGCAAACAACAACAACCAAAACAATAACATAAAAATAAAAATAAAAAAAAATAATAATAAAGATGTTGTATTTATGTATAAGGATAAAAAAAAAATAATAATAATAAAGATGTTGTATTTATGTATAAGGACTGACTAGCACAAATGGTGTTGAGAATACTTATGACATTGGCCTTGGAAAAGATGATGGTAGATCATATAAATTCATAAATATTTATTTGGTTATGGATAGCTTTATCACATATCTATATAACTACTACTTTTTCGCGTCCTTAAAAAAATATTGTATTAGGAAGCTACTTTTGAAAATCATTTATGCTAATTGTGATGGCTTTAAAAAAATTTACTTATTCATAACAACTTCATAATCATCTTTATAATCGACCCAAACAAATCCTTAGATGACATTTAAATCTATATAATTCTCCAAGGATATAAGCATATCTTTGTGTTCAAAAATTTCAATTTATACATGTATTGTGAGAACACATAATGTGAGCTCACTACGAGTGGTCGATGCCTCAATTTGACGGTCACTTCAATCACTTATGACAACAGTGTAGTTGTGGTTGCCCGCCTAATAAACACATATGCGAAACTTCGATTGGTTGGACATGTCCAAACTTGTGTGGCAGTTCAAGAGATAATTGAGCTTGGATTAATGCATTTTTTTTAGGCCATTAGCTAAGAAGTACTAATATTAATAAGATTAAATTACTAAATTAATTAAAAATATTTAAACCTATATAAATCACTTTTTTATGTCTAATAATTTTTATTAGATTTTCTAATTTCTCATTTTGAAATTATTTTATTATAAGAATTTTTTGACTTGTAATCGTTTTCTCTTTCTGATAATAAATGAGCTCGTTCGTGAGCTTACTGAAACTCTTAGAATTAAATTTTAATTTAAACTTGAACTCATGAGTTAATCAAGCTCAAGCTCGAGTTACTAGTGTCTTTCGCTAGGATCGATTCATTTATGATGTAGCGAGAGTTCGTACTGAAAAAACATTGAAATGATTTAAATTCTAAAGTGATATAAGCGTATATTATTAACAGCATCGTGGTGTATATCATGGTTTTAAAAATTGAATCAAAACTTTTGGTTCTATCGATTCAACTGTGAACCGCTTAATTGACATTTTGTCCAAACTCAAAATTTTTTTTTGAATAAAATTGAAATTGAACTAATCAGAGTTGAACCAGCAAAAATCTATCAACTAATATTGTCCAATTTCAATATTTTGATTTTATTCAGATGAATATAAACAAAATATGTACATCAGAAATAGAGAAAACATCTTTGCTAAATATTTTGAATTACAATATTAATCAAAATAATATGAAGTGAAATTTCTTAAATTAAAATATTAGTTATTAGATTGGTAGAAATAATACTAATGTATAGTTATTATATTATTTAAAAATTATTTTAAAATAATTTTAATATTTATCATGTCATCTGATTCAATTATATCTGAACAATTGAACATTTAACATCTTATTCTAAATTGATTTTCGGTCCAATTCTCACAATTTTCCTATATAAATACTATTTAATAATAAAGTTTTTAGCATTTACATACATACCGCCCAAGTTGTATGTATTTAAATATTTAATACCTAAACTTTATATTTTTTATATTATATCACTTAAATTTTTTATATCACATAAAAATATCACTATTCTATTTAAAAATTGAAGTATGTATGTTAGATGTGTAAATACATAAAAATTTAGTGGGATGTATGTAAAACTAATATCAATTTCATTAAAATAATTTTGTATAATTTACATTCATACCACTCAATTCTTTTATATTTACATATCTAATAACTATGCACCTTCTCAATGCAATAAAAAAAACGTTTTTCAGTTTTTAGAAGTCAAAATATAATATTTCCATGTGATATTAAAAATTTGAATGCTCCAATTATAATAATTGAATTTTAGATATTAGATATGTAAATACATAAGAATTTAATTAAAGTATATATTTTTCTATGTATGACAAAGTGAATTTCTGTAATTCATCTTTTTATACAAAGGAAAGGTGCTAAAAATCAAAATTTTGATGTGCAATATGTAGGGCTGTCAAAACGCTCGTTGTTCGCGAACAACTTGTGTTCGACTCCTTAAGAAACTCGTTTTCGGCTTATTTTCTAAGTTAACGAGCTGAACACAAACAACACAAATAAATATTTGTTAGTTCAAGTTCGGCTCGTTTTGGCTCGAAATACTACTAATCAATTATATATACATCTTTGATGAGTAGTATTTTTTAAAAATTTAATTGACTACATGGCTACAAAAATTTATAATCAATTAAAAGTATTAATGAAGAAAATATAATTAAAATTAATAAATTAGATTCAAATGATGTTTTAAATCTTGTCTCAATCTTTAACATATAATCAATTAAATTATTAATGAAGAAAACAGAGTAAAAATTATTAAATTAGATTCAAATGATGTTTAAATCTAGTTACAGTCCTTAAAGTTACAATCCTTAATATCTTATGACTATTTGATTAGGGTTGTCAAAACGACTCTTTGTTCGTGAATGGCTTTTGGTTGATGGCTTGTGTTCGGCTCACAAAGCGAATGAGATCAACACGAATATATTTTTGGAGCTCGAAATATAAATGAGCCGAACACGAGCTGAGCTTAGGCGCGTTACACCACAAGCCATATGTAAATGCTTAAGAATTGGTCCATGTATGTTAATTTCCGATAAATTTTTATTAAACCCTAAATCAACAAATTACCGAAGCACCCTGTCTTCAACAAAGATAGGGGAAGCTGCAGCCTCCGACCAATTCGGCCTTGTTAAATTCGATCCTTCATTTGTTTCCGCGAGTATCGAGAAGAGGTAATCCCAGCAGGCTTGTTCCATAAGCATGGCCTGGTTCTAGTCTTCCTAGATTTCTTTTATCTGCATTTGTTCGAATCTAGGGTTTTTTGTGAGAAAATCAGTCACCATGATCCATCTCTCACTTTTCTATTTTATCATCATTGTTGCTGAGATGGATCTGCTACGAGTATGCCGCGATTTCGCCATGTCCTATCTGTACTTTCGTGCTTGGATCCGTCGCTACGTTTATGTTTTCCTGTAGTTTTAATCTATCAGGGAATTCAATTGTTTAATTGTTTAAATTTGGATTTGTAAGCAGATGGCATCGAAGCTCCATCAGCTGCAGGCCAAAGCTGTGCAAGCCTCACAATTTGTGGCTAAGCACGGAACTTCGTATTATAAGCAATTGCTGGAGGAGAATAAGCAGCACATTGTCCAGCCACCAACAGTTGAGAAATGTCAAGAACTTTCAAAGCAGCTATTCTACACTCGGCTGGCAAGGTTTGTATGATAATGGGGAAATTCCTTCTTCATATGTCGTGACCTTTTTTTTTTCTTAAATTTTATTTTTGGCATTGCCTTCGCTTTTTTGATGTTTTTGTATGCTTCATTCTATTAGGTTGATTTATTCTTTAAATATATATGAATTTAGGATTAAATTTCTGAAATTTGAATCAAATCCCTTAAAATTCTTTAGCATGCTGCCACCCTTTGGTATGATTGTAAACATCAAAGTTAAATGTAGCTATGGAATTGAGTGTAGGTGCAAATTCATCGTTAATGCTGAAACTTTCACCAAAGGACATAAAAGAGCCATCTTTACCTTAATGTAAGCGTTATCATATCAAAGTAAGGTATATAAAAGTAAAAACCCACTAAAAGTAGGACAGGTAGCTAAAAACTACATGTTAAGTGGTCATTAATTCAGTTGGGAGAGAAAATAGTTCATCATTCATTGCCATAATCATTGCCACGGCTGAATCAATACATATGATTGCTTAATTTAACATGAAATGTGAAGAAGCACTAACTTGGTCTTCCATCCCTTAGACAAAAAAAAAGGATGATTTTCTTGTTGAGCTAATATATTTGCATCAATTGAGGGCACTTTCTGCTTTGATGTTTTTATCAATCCGATCTTAATTTCATTTTTAAACCATCAATCAACTAATCCATAAACAATAAGGGGGCTTCAAAGTTGAATTGTGGATATTTCCTCGCCCAAATCATAAGTGTGGTTATTAGAAGATCATAAGTAGATGGGTTCACCCACCATAAAGTTTCCCTTAAGCTCAATAGAACATGTTATATGACGCCACCTTGATGATTGGCATTAATATTGAAGGATAATGAGTACAGAGGAGTCATGACTATCATAAATTAGCTATAAGCTCAAAAGAAGAATATACTATAGGGAAGATTCTCTTACCTCGCTGGCGGTGCAATTATGATGAACTTATAGCCATAGAATTATTTACATTGTCGTATACACACAACATGAAAGATGGACTGCATAAGGCATAATGCCCCCTTTTAAAATGAAAAATATTCTCCAGGGTTCCTACTCTAAATTCTTAATGGCGGGTCTGATCATTGTAGATAGGTGGGGTTATCAAGATTGTTGCATTAGTGTTTGCTCCCTACTCAAGTCAAAGATGAGATAGCATTCAAATAGATGGTCAAAGCTCCTAATTTTGATGAAATTTCTCCAAGCCTCCATTTCTTGATGACATGCATGGTCAATGATTATTTCTCAACTAAATGGATCATTGTTGCTGTGTGCATATTTCTCATAAGAAAGTTAGCATCCCGTTCCAAATGCAGTTACAGTGCCTTCCATCCAAAGGCCTCCAAGATCAAAATATATATAGTTAAGGCTTGATTCAATTCGATGTAAAACCCACATGTATTTAAAACCAATCCAAACTTGAAACCAAAATAAAACTGCCATTATGGCAAATCAAACTAAATTAATTGGTTCAGTTTGGTTTCAATTTGCTGTCTTGGTTTAGAACATAAATCTTGGTTTTGAAGGGGATTTAATGTTTAAGTTCGGTGCTGATTTGAGATTTTGTTCTAAATTGATGGACCATTAAGGTATCAACATTAAACTAAATCAAAGAATGATATGATTCAACTCAATAGTTGTTGTTTTTGGTTTATTTTTTTAGTTTAGAGAGTAATCAACTTGCTAATTTTGTTTTATAATTCAAGTTTTTAAATAGTATCTTTTCCTAAATCATAGAAATTAGTTAAAAAATAGCAGAAAAGGGAGAAGAATAAAGCAACGTAGACAAACAAATAAAAAGGAATGCGAGGAACTTCTTTAGGACGGTCTTTGTGAGATAGATTCAAACTGATAGTACAGAAAAAAATTCAAATTGCCCTGAAAGTTTATTCATTAAAAAAACCTATGATAATCCCACATATGTTGTCTCAACCCGGTCTGAGACTTGGAATTAAACATGACGGGAACGGACGGTTGGATAGTGAAAATCAATTTCTTTTTCCTTTCTATTACCATTACTAACAGTTTAATATTAAAAAAATCATGAAAGAGCCACTAAAAAATAATTAAAATTAAGTAGAAATTTGTACCTTTTTGGATGCTGTTCTTGCCTCATGTACAAATTTGATCATTTTCTGTTCATCTTGCTTAAATGTTTTAAAATATAAAAGTAATATTAAAATAATGTTATGAGTTATTTAAAGATAACACAACAACAATCACATTTCTAAACTACAGTAACATAAGGAAAGAAATCAGTAAGCCTGCTGTTCTTTCATATATCTATAAGAAATTTTATAAAATGCTAGTCTTTCATATTTTCATAAGAAATTTCATAGTATGTTAATGCATGTATCATCGACATTTTTAAATAAAAACACTCAAGTCTTCTATATGCATTTACTTTATATTTATTCTAACTTTATACTCTTTATATACGTATTTGTCCCTGTGAGGATCACCATCAACAAAGCCTATCACACTCTTGACCGATATTGCCTTGTCGGCTTTCATATGCACTTCGATTAGCGATGTAAACATCACAATTGTCTAGGGTGTAAAGGTCTTTACTTGCCTCTTAGTCGATATTATCTCATTGGAACAATGGTTTTAGTAATGTAAATATCACAATTTTATGGGAGGTAAGCTTTAGGGTGCGTTTGGGGCAGCTTATGCTTATCCAGATAAACAACTTATCCTAAAACGCGGCCCGCGTGGTTTGATTCGCGACCTGCGTTTAGTGTAAAAACCCAACCGCGTTTTCGGATAAGCTGCCAAAACGTGTTTTCTAAACGATGAGACGGTGTTTTGAAGACGACGCTCGCACTTATAAGTTGCCCTAAACGGGCCCTTAGTCTGCTCGCCTTTAGCCGATACTATCTTGTTGGCACAATGGTTAGTGAATTAACCATCACAATTATCTGGGGTGGTAAAAAAACTCTTCACGAGTGGGTACATTGACTTCTTCTGCCTGCACCATTAGGGGTTGAGCTCTTCTGAATATGTACATTCAATCATTCATATATAAGTCATTTCATTCTTCATAATTTACATTATTCTGAGACATCTTCATGCATCTAATAACATGCATATCTACTCTGCCGTGCAACTATTCATCTTGCATGTCTCTTATAGCATGCATACTTTGTATATTATTTCTCTCATACATATCATGCATCTTTTGCATATCTTTAATGCATGTATATCTTGTCTAACAATATGATGATCTATTAAATCAGAACATATATGGAGTTAAACATACATTTTGAAATGAAAAAGATTAATGAAATCTAGAAGTGCAATTACTCATATCGGTTGCCACACTAAATTCTACATTTTCGTAATTAGCTGGTGTTGCTATAACTTTTATTTTGAGATGAATAATCTATAAAACAGAAAATCAACTTTAATTTTCAAACAATTTTCGTTAATCGAAATATTTTTCTTAACATAGGATTAATTTACCTGAATTTTATGAAGCGTTCTACAAATAACTTCCACATGCTTGTCTCGAACTTTTCACCTTTGGGTAAACAACTTGAAATCTTAAATGACTTAGAAATTTAGGATATCTTAGCTCATAAGGTGATTTAACCCAAAATATAATTAATTTGCCAAAACATACGTCAAACGACTTCTTGACAAACCCAACCCTCCTCCGAAGCTGACAAAACATATTCCCTTTACTTCTTATCTTCTCAGTCTTCCTTTCGCCTTCATTGATTTTCTGCTAAAACCCTTACAAAAACTTGCAAGCCAGTTACCACGCTTCCGCACAAGTTTGATGCCTCTGACTGCCATAAAAAATGAACAATGCACAAATAACGAAGCAAATGTCAAAATGAAAGCAAGAGGAAGTAAATGAAAGTCTCAAATGACGCTAAAATCAGTTTTGCACTTACCAATTTCGTCCTGTAACTTAGATTCATAGCCTGCGGCTTACGACTGGCCACTCGCTGCAGGTCTGCGGGTCGCGATTCTGCTCTGCTCGCTACTTCTGCTACAGGAGCTGATCCGGAGCCCTTTTGTCGGGCGTGTCAAAAGTAGGGAGGGGGAAAATCGGGAAATGGGGAAGAGGCACGACACTCTGCGACTCATTTGTAATCATTGTGAGTCGCTCGCCTTTTGCTATAGTGAAGGTTCACGAAATCGCTCACTGTTAAGCCGTTGGAGGTTTAGGGGAAAAGAAAAATTGTGAGAGGAGAAGGAAACCATGGGCTCTAGATGGAGGATCTCACCCCATTCGTCGCTTGTCGCATCGTAAATTGGTTGGGAACAATAATACGAGATTAGGGAGGGTTAATTAAGGTTTAATTAATTTAATTAAACTTATAATTTTTTATTTTTATTTCTTTCAATCCATTTTATATATAGTATGGTATATCAAATTGATCGATTTGATGCGTAGAATTTTATAAAATTACTTTGATTAAAATCTGGGTAGTGTAAAATTTGAGGTACATTTTAAGATTTTTTCAAAACTAGTTATTACATATGTAACTATAGAACCAAAATTTTATATTTTTTTAGGGTCAAACACAACTCTCAAATGAATGAATTTTTTATTTAATTGCATCTTGGGTGATATCTATAAAAAAACTCTCGATCAAAGAAGTTTTGCTTACATTCTAATATCTAGTAACAGAGTACCAAGAAATGAAGGTTGTCACTTCAATAGGGGAATCTCAGTGCTTCAAAACCAAATTAGGCCATAGGACAGATGGTGAATCATCTTATCCCAGTATGCGACTACGTATCAACAAACAAATTTTTATACATGTGGCTATTGTTCTATATTGATTTGTGTCTAACCACATGTTTAATGATTGATTGTTTTTGTGTATTTATTCAATTTGAAATGTATGCATTATATTAGATTATTATATGGATTCTTATCCACTATGGGGAAAGCCATAATAAATATCATAAAAATATTTTTCACTTGCACGCGCTAGCTATGAATTTCTCCCATCAGACATGATTCATTTCACGC